TGTGGTGAAAGGGGCCAAAAATGTAGTTTCTCAATATCTCGGTTAATTATTGACCAAACCCCATGAAATTTGACTCAGGGATGGACAATGGGATCCTCTTTCATATTCCAAATTGAAAGATATGAGACAAATATTTATGGAAAACACAATTAATATGAGGGGGACTGTAGTCCTTGGCGGAGGTCTGCGCTCTCTGACTGCTTTTCTAGTTAGAAATAAAAACACCTGCGGCTGAATGAATGCAGAATAGAAAAGTTCAATGCCAAACTGTGGAATTAAAAAAGCTAAGAAAAATCATTTAGCTAAGAGAAGTCACTCACCTGCAGCACTTCGTAGATGGCTTTCCTGTACATGGGCTGTTTGTTGTATGTGGGCTGGTGAAAGGCGTTACTGAAGCAGCTTAAAGGCATGAGTTTCTCCACACAAACCTGAGGAGACAGGATTCATTTAATGCTCTACTTATGCTAAAATCTATTAACTACAAACAAACATGACTTTAACTGAAGGTTTTAATATTGCTTTGTACAGTAGTATCCAGCTTTTGAGAAGGACAAATAAAAGGTGCACCATAACAAAACCAGTCTCACCCACAATCCCAGGACTAAACCAAGGGAAGACCAAACAGGGCTAAAACTGACTAACTGAGGACACAACAGGGACAATATCAGGTCTCAAATAAAGACTAAACCAGGTCTAAACCAGGACTAAACCAGGACTAAACCAGGACTAAACCAGGTCTAAACCAGGACTAAACCAGGACTAAACCAGGTCTAAACCAGGTCTAAACCAGGTCTAAACCAGGACTAAACCAGAACTAAACCAGGTCTAAACCAGGACTAAACCAGGTCTAAACCAGGACTAAACCAGGACTAAACCAGGACTAAACCAGGTCTAAACCAGGACTAAACCAGGACTAAACCAGGACTAAACCAGGTCTAAACCAGGTCTAAACCAGAACTAAACCAGGTCTAAACCAGAACTAAACCAGAACTAAACCAGGACTAAACCAGGACTAAACCAGGACTAAACCAGGTCTAAACCAGAACTAAACCAGAACTAAACCAGGACTAAACCAGGTCTAAACCAGGATTAAACCAGAACTAAACCAGAACTAAACCAGGTCTAAACCAGGTCTAAACCAGAACTAAACCAGGTCTAAACCAGAACTAAACCAGGTCTAAACCAGAACTAAACCAGAACTAAACCAGGACTAAACCAGGACTAAACCAGATCTAAACCAGAACTAAACCAGAACTAAACCAGGTCTAAACCAGGTCTAAACCAGAACTAAACCAGGACTAAACCAGGACTAAACCAGGACTAAACCAGGACTTACCACAGAGAACTTGCTGTCTCCGAACCACATGACCCATCTGGTGCCCTCGGCGGCTCGGCTGCGTCCCGTCATGTACCAGGACACGATGCGCCCGGGCCACCACGAAAACCCACGCAGCTTCCCCCAAACCAGCTCCCCTATGCCAAACCCACGGCCGTCCTGGAGGAAGAGGAAGAGGAGGAAGAGGAGAGTGTGAGACAGAGACACAGAACAATGTCAGAATTCTGCTGTGACTTTTAACTGTTGTGTCTAAGAGAGATTTGACCTAAAACAGCAACCTATAACAAATTCAAAGTAATATTTAAAGGTGCACTATGTAACATTTCTGAATATTGTTTGTCTCCGTGGAGATGTTATTCCTATGCCTGGAATGTTCCAAAGTCTGGCATTTAAGTGACCTGAAAGGATGACATCTCCTGACTGTGTCCAACAAATAGATAAGTTACTGACTTGCACAGTAAAAAACATCAACCTTAACACATCTAATGTCACACTGTGAAAGAGGCAGGAAAACATATCACTATGGAGACGAGCAGAAAAGTTCCACACTGCACCTTTAAGCAAAACCTTAAGAGATTTCAATGAAACTTTGTCATGTCCTGTTGTACTTGGTGATTTTTATATTCTTACCTCCTCGTACTCGGGCTCTGTGTCTGTTGATTTGGGTGAGCTCTTCTCAGCACCCATGGGTCCTGGCTCCGGCGTCGTGGCGACAGTGGGAGAGGCAGGGTCTGTGGGCTGCTGCTGAAGAAGAGGAGAGGGTGGAGGAGGAGGATGAGGGGGTGAAATATCCTGCTTTTCTAACACCGGCGGCTCTAAGGGGGACTGGGGCTCTGGTACAGACTGGATCTTGGTCTGGTTCTTGGTCTGGGTCTTGGTGTGGACTTTAGGCGGTACTTGGTCTAGTATTTGTAGCGGACTGTGCGCGTTTGGCAGCTCTGAAGGCTTCTCCTGAGGCTGTGGTGGTGGTAGTTGAGGTCGGGTTGAAGGCAGTGGGTGCTTGATTAAAAACAGGTCCCGTTCCAAGTCCAAGTCCTGGTCTTGGTCTGGATCTTGGTCGTGGTCGAGATCTGGGTCTTTCTCGTCTGGCTCCTTCATGGCGTTTATGGCTGACATCAGTTTGGCTTTTTTCTCAGCCTGAAAACACACAAACATTTGGGTTTATTCAAAATGTTGAAAGATAAATATAATGTTGTTTTTTTTTGCTCATTTGTATAACACAGAGAATTAAAGTTGTACTCAGTGGTGTAATGGTTTTTCACACATGTTTAACACACAAACCCTGCATATTTAGGCTGAGTTCTCATCCCAAACAGAAAACACTGTGTTCCACTGTGTTGTGATGTCATGTTTAAACTCCATACACTTTCACTAGAATCATTTCAGTCCTGGAATTTCCAATCTCTTCTGAACTAAAGGTAAAAGGAGCTTGACTTGAAAAATACTTGAAAACTATTGTTTCATAACATCACAAGGTGGAACAGAGCATTTGGAGCTTTGGAGATGGAGACAGACTCATAATAAAAGTTACTCAACCATGTGTGAATGAAACAAAACACAATTCCAGGTGTGTTTTTGAGGAGGGAACATGGATTAAAGCTCAAAATAATTCATTTTTGAGTAATACAGAACACAAAAACACATTGGACATGATTACTTGTTTATTTCTCTTCTAATTTGGTGTTTTGGTTCTCAAATGATTCTCCAATCAGAAAACAGAATGAGCCTCACATGACTCATTTGTGTTGCCAGTTTTAATGCTAAAGTCCAATGTGTTTAAATCTGAAATGTCTCTCTCTGATCTGAACAGTCTCTCCCTAAACCCCAGCACCTTCACCAGTCCTGAGTCAGTGCTAGTGCAGCCTCTGCAGCTCAGTAAAGGAATTCTGGAGGTTCTCAGACTTAGACACTTTACTGTACACAGTAGCTCACACATCACAATATAATATAATAACAAAAAGTAAAAAATACAAATGGTAATAATAAATTCTAATCAAGTTTAAAAAAGGCAGGTGCAAATAAAGCATACTTACATTAAATGTAAATGTACAAGTAAAAATAAAATAGAAAAATAAGAAATAAAATATAAAATCTCAGTTATATACAAGAGAGTATATTCTGAGCTTTCACATGAGGTCTGTCCATAAACTGTGAATGACAAACTTTTGTGTGTCTCTATCTGCAGGTGAAGCTCTGGAGACACAAGTTCACATGTGATTGTACATTTAAAGCAGTAAGAGTGCAGGCTACACCCTGCTGTGAAGAAAATGTAAATTCTAAATACAACTTACTCAACCCATCTTTGCTCTTCAAACAACAAATACAAACAAACCTATGTCCACCAATAATAATTACTTTATTCCAACAAAGATTCAAATAAATAACTGATTTCATTTCTTATTTCTACTTTCCAAGGCCGTGATTAGACCAGCCCAAGCTCAGTGCAGACATGAGGCCTCAGCGAGTCCTGCTCTGGTACACTTCTGTGTCGAGTCTTTTCATTGAGAGCAGCACAGTGTAACTCTAGAGTCCTGAAGTGCGCGGGGTCAGGGGGTCTGTGGTACCCAGTCTGAACTGAACTAAAGCCACAGTAAATCCACAACAGCTGCACTGACACAGGCTGATGTCTCTGTCCAACTCCCAAGACACCACTATGAGACAAAAGCACACACACACACACACACACACACTGTCCCCACACACACACTGTGTCCACATACACACTGTCCCCACATACACACTGTGTCCACATACACACTGTCCCCACATACACACTGTGTCCACATACACACTGTCCCCACATACACACTGTGTCCACATACACACTGTGTCCACACACACACTGTCCCCACACACACACTGTGTCCACACACACACTGTGTCCACATACACACTGTGTCCACATACACACTGTCCCCACATACACACTGTGTCCACATACACACTGTGTCCACATACACACTGTCCCCACACACACACTGTGTCCACATACACACTGTGTCCACACACACACTGTGTCCACACACACACTGTGTCCACATACACACTGTGTCCACATACACACTGTCCCCACACACACACTGTGTCCACATACACACTGTCCCCAAACACACACTGTGTCCACATACACACTGTGTCCACACACACACTGTGTCCACACACACACTGTGTCCACATACACACTGTGTCCACACACACACTGTGTCCACATACACAGTGAGTTAATTTTTTCACTCTATATGATTTAGTGTTAAGACACTATTGTAGTCACAGCTGCCCTGGGACAGACTGACAGAAGTGAGGCATGTTCGACCACCACAACGACAGAACTTGGTTCTACAGGAGACAGGACCAACCAAGACTAAACCATGACTTTTAAAATCTTATTTCCTGTAAATAAGAGCACCTGTGTCTTCTGATGATATTTTCATAAATGAGGTTATCTGACCTGCTCGTGCATATACAGGATTCTGAGTTGTACAAAACAAACATAAAACTTAAAAGTTCTGAAATTAATACATACTATAGAGAGAGAGAAATACTTTATTGACCCCGAGTTAATTCAAGTTTTGCTGCAACTTCCACTGTGCATCTCAGTTCCTTTGTGTTTCAGTCAGAGTTCTCAGGTCAGTTTTACAGGACGACTGGTCAGAGAGGGTCAGATCTGTGTCAGGGCAGTTTGAGCAGAGGAAGAGACAAAGTGTTCCTCCTCTGTGTCCTGCAGCATCACAGCAGCCTCCAGGGAACACAACAGGAAAGGCCTCACTCTCACACCGCTCTGGTTTTTGGTAACGAAATGATCCATTCTCTCAAATGATTCCCTCTGGAAGGTCTTCTGTCACATTTACTGCCACATATGGTGTGAAAAGCCTGTAGCATCTTAAATGTCCATAGGTGACTCCTTAGCCTCTTGCACAGTCTCCATGGATACGAGTAGAGCTGGGTATCATTAAGAAATCGCCGATACGATACATAACTCGATACATAGGCCACAGTAAGATACAGTAAGCTTTCAGTTTGATACAATATATTTCAAACTGATTAGATAATGTTCAGTAAAAAATAAAGGCTAAATCATGTCTGTGATACTGAAAGTTTACTACTTCTTGTGCAAAGTTCACATGAAACACAAACATTATATCCTCAAAAGAGTGAAAATGTCAAATGTGTCACATAAACAAGTTTCCTTCCTCTGAACTAGCAACACAACTGAAGATGTAACAAAATAATTTAGAAAAATATACAAAAAAATACTCTTGGTGATATATCGATAAAGCAACCCACAATATCGATACTATATCATCACATTAAACGATATGATATATTGATATTTCAATATTTTTGCACACCCCTAGTTAAGAGAAAAACAAACAGTTCATTTCACACAGTCCAACAGTCACTTGTGTTCACTCCCTCAGAGTGTTTCCTCTGGAAGATCCATGTATGTTGTGAAAAACCTGGAGCATCTTAAATGTCCATCGGCCGCTCCTTAGTGCAGTGAACAACTCTGTATCCTTTTCATTGTCTGTTAAATCAAAGAGGTACAGTTTGTTTTGTGAGACTCCAAACATGTGCTTCTAGCCCTCGGGCTGTAGTCCTATAAATATCTCTAACTGGGACCATTCAAACCCAGTGAACCACATGTTTAGGACCTGGTTTAGTCCGGTCTCATGTGGGAGCCCAGATGTGAACAGTGTAAACCCACATGTGTCAGTCAAACGGACAGACGTGTTTGGAGCATGTGCAGAAATCGTGTGAGGAAATGGTGCCAACGTAACCCGAGCCGACCACAAAACACAAAGTGCAGCTTTCACACACGCTTATGGGCGACAGGAGACAGAGCGTGAACAATTTTTAAAACTTTCCATAATCTATAAAAGTTATTTCATAAAAGACATGGGTTTTCTGCAGTTTGTTCTCACAAGTAGCTACTCTCAGCGTCAATGATCAGCCTGGGCCTTTTTAACTGAGAGATGAGAGGTTTAAGAAGACTATAACATTAAATAAAACCCACAGAGAAATACTTTCATTTTATATGAGAACATGGTTGTCTTAAATCTGAAAAATGTAATATGGCTTTGTCTGGAATGTTCCACAGTACAGCATTAAACCTTTCGATCTTCATGGAGAGCAAACTAGACCAAGTTACAGGTCAGATCTGTGGAGAGGCGACCTCTCTCACAGTCAGAATGTCAGATTTTCTAGTTTTTTTAAACCACCTGTACTTTAATAATTACAAAGTAGAGCTGTTTAATGTCACACTGTGGAACATTCCAGGCAGAGTAATGACCATAGAAACAAGCAGGTGACGGATCCTCCACCAGAACATTTTCACAATGCACCTTTAAATAGGTAAAGAGGAGGGCTGTCAGTCGCTTAAAAATTGTAATTAAACACTTGATTGTCTGAGTTAATTTGTGATTAATCTCATTTAACTTGATTGTTTCTTAATTTACGTTTGAACACATTTTACTTTTGAATAGCATATTTAGCAGTTTTATCTTTTAACTTTAATTAACTTCTGATTAATTTGTGTAAAAAAAAAATCTGGAGCTGTGTCCCTGATTTCAGACAGTGTGATTGACAGGCGGATTAACCAATCAGAGAGAAGCGCGGCGGTTCATGTAAAAAAAGAAAAGAATTTGTAGAGGAGAAGTGTTCTGCATTTGAGAGACACATGATCCAGATGAGCAGCTGTGGTTGGACCGTCTCAAGTGTGGACGTAGGTTTTTCTCGCTCTATGGTCCGAGTCCATCCTGTTTTAATTTCAATTTCCTTCTCCTTATCACTTCTTTCCTCTAGTCATTTCCTTTGCCTGCTGGTCCTCTTTCCTTACACTCTCTCCTCCCTTTTTCCTCCTTCTCTCCTCTCGTCTTCTCTCTCCTCCGTCCTGCTCTATTCTCTCCTCTCTTCCTCTCCTCTGTCCTTTTCACTTCCCTCCTTTTCTCCTCTCTTCCTCTCTCCTTCTTTCTCTCCTCCCTCCTTCTCTCCTCCCTCTCCTTGTCTCTTTGTCCTGGGTGACGCTGCAGGACAGCGGGGGGCAGCGCTGTACAGTACGGGCCCATATATATACGAGGCACATTTTTGTCATAGTGGTGGTGTAGTGCGCCCCTCCGCTGGGCCTCTTCACTTCAGGA